ATGCATTCAGGGCACCATTGACTTTGTTTCCGGCAGCGACACGTCTATCCACATCTAAATCACATCTTCCATCCCGGCTGAAAGCACTCTCCAAGTATACAATTTCATTTACCTGTTCTAGACATTCCTGATTTACCCATATTTCACATTTCGTTCTCTCTTCATCCTTTTCAAATACCAGAACCTTAGTTTTATTAGCATTCAAACGGAGACCTTTAATTTCACATTCCTCTTTCATACACGTGACTAATGCCTGCAGTTCTGCTTCTGATGGTGCAATAAGCACTGCATCATCAGCATACAGCAGACAATTTACTTTAATGTCACCCAATTTCACACCCAAACAGCTATTTTTCCTTCTTACAGCTGTCGAGATACAGTATGAACAGCCAGGAAGACATGACACAACCCTGTTTTACGCCCGCTTGGACGCTTTGGGGGACAGGTCATGCCCTACCCGCACACAGGCTTTACAGTCATAGTAAAGTGACTGCATAGCCCTTAACAATTGACCAATCCACACCATATCCCGGCAACAGTTCCCACATTTTCTTCCTTATAACCTTATCAAATGCTTTCTCCAGATCCACAAAAGCACAGAAAATCCTCTGGTTAACACTCAAAAGCTTTTCCGTGATCATGCGGAGAGAAAACATTTGATCCGTGCATCCTCTTCCAGGTCTAAATCCGCATTGTGCCTCCCATAAGAATCTTTCCGATTTCTCTTACATCCTACGTGTCAAAACCTTCGAGTAAACTTTACTTGCTAAACTGGTCAAGCTGATCGCCCGATAGCACCCGCAGTTAAAATGTGAACCTACCTTTACCTTTATATAAAGGCACAATGACCGCAGATCGCCAATCATCCAGGGCATCTCCCGTCCGCCAGCACAAATTGTACAGCAGACGAAAGCTGTCAGACGCGAGGCCCACCGTACTTGACCATTTCAGCAGTAAATCTGTCTAGTCCCGCAGCCTTACCACATTTCAAACTTCGAATCGCACGTTCAATCTCTTTCATGCTGATGACCTCAGTGTCATCCAGGTCCGTGTCTTGCGTGCCAGTCACGGCGTCACCCCCGGATCCTTCACTAAGATCATGACACGCATACATTTCTCTGTAAAATTCACTCCATCGCTGCATGACGTCCGATTTTTTTGAGAGAACGTATTTTCGAAAGCACTTTTATTCTAAGGCTGTCGCACCACTCCGGGACCTTCCAACCTCTTTCCAGAAGAGTTTGGAGTTTTCCTTAAAGTTGTGCGACAACCTCTCGTCCGCTTCTATTCTACACCTTTCACGTACTTCCTCAATCAATGTTTTCGCATGAACTTTCTGCAGCTTATATCTTTCTTTCATCTTCTCTCTCATATGCTTATCGTTACTAGTGGCCAAGTAGTCTAACCATGCTTTTTTCTTCTTTTTTACAGATTCTCTCACTTCATCACTCCACCATGAATCTCTTCTTTTACTACTACCTCTTTTTGTCGTTCCACATACTTCTTCCGCTGCACTTACCATTCCATCCCTAAGGTTCTGCCATGTTCTCTCCACACATTCTTTCCTGCCATCGTATAGAAATATGCCTTGTATAGAAAGATATTTGAAAAATTATTTTTCTTTTGAGAATTGAAATAAAAAATATTTCAAAAAGCTTTCGAAAAGCTTCTTAAAACGTTTCAAGTACAATAAGATGCGAAAAGTATGGGATTAAACAGAAATATGTCGGTAATACCGATTATGTCAGGTTAAGCACTCAAAGCAATCTTATATTTCGTCAACACTTAGACGTTTCAAGGTAGAGTGACCTCTTTCTTCTAAGTTCTTACCGAGTCGAACCGAGGTAGCTAAGAGGCTAAGTAATTGTCGTAAAGCTTAGTAAGCGAACAACCTGGATTTGATCTTCGCCGTTACCAAATAAATTGATAGCTACAATTTGAAGTGTTGTTTTAGCATATTCCATGGCAGAGGATAACATTGTGAGGAAACCTATATGTTTAAGGAATTAATATTAAGAGGACATGAATAGTCCGTCAATATCTACTCAAGCGACGCAGCAGACTAATTCCCCATTTATAGTCAAATATAAAGGCTGTAACTTTACCAGACGTAGATAACGATCGCTTCACAACCGATATTGGTCGTTAAGAATATAATGATATTTGGTAGTATCTAATGTCAAAGCTATCGATTGATATAGATATTGTTACGAACATCATCGCAAACTTTACGATTAATTGTTAAGTTTGTGAATAACTGGTGAGTGTAGAGAACCGAAGACCCTTTTTACTGGAAACGAGGCATTCCATCTTAGTTCTCACGGGTGACAACGCATCTGCATTTTGATTTGTAATTGAGGATAGATGTAGATGTCTATGGGCTGCAGCAATAACTTAACATCAGGTAGACTGTGTGCTCATATGTCACATATATTGTGACATATGTTACAAAGTTCAACAGGTGTTTTAGTAAACATAAAGTAAGAATAACACATACAAAAAAAAAAAAACCCCCCCCCCCCCGCACGGCGGGAACACAACCGGTAAAAATTAAATATTTAAAAAAAAAAAAACCAAAAAAAAAAATTTTTTTTAAAATATAAAAAAAAAAAAAAAAAAAAAAATTTTTCATATTCAATTAATAAATAATTTACTTAGGCATTCTAAGGACCTGTTTCTCAGAAAAGAATAAATAAATTGACTGGAAAAGCTTATTTATATTACACATTTTGGTGTATAGACTAGTTCTCCAGTCTGACATTGTGATGTGGCGAGACCTGTGATCAACGGTGGGAGAGGGGCTCTAAATGTAATAAATTATTTTTCTTAACTTTAATAGAGTTTGTTAATGTGAATTTTTTTTTAATAACACAAAACGATTATTAATTCAATTTCAAAAAGACTTGCTTTAAAGAGCTTATAATTGTATTTAATAAATAATTCAACACGATGACATGAGATGACAGAAGAAATATATACCTTGTTTTCTACCTCATTTTTACCCATAGTTAACACTTTAAACAGAAATGAGGCATTTGAAATACAAATATTTATAGTTAACTTTGAGATGAGTTTATAACGCGGTTATTTGGTGACAGTGTTAAATTTTGTGCGAGTAACACCGTTAATATGAAATATCACTGAGATAACAATCTGCGCAGAAGAACATTCCATATATGTTACTTTTGCTAATATTGTCATGAAATACCAAAACACTTACTCAGGTGATAGAGCCACGCTGCGGCTATACTGGGTGATTTTTTTACCGTCTGGAAAAAAAACAGAGTGTAACAGGTGAACGGAATAGAATCCTATGCACAGAATACCAGCGTGAAACAGTATAACAAAACCAAAATATAACCTAAATAGGTTGGCTTGACCACAGATATTTCACGCTGATATTCTTTGAGAGCATGAGCCTACCATGCTTTCACGTGTTTCGTGAACGTATGGTAGGCTCAAACGAAGCATTCAGTCTTAGTTTTCAGAGGTGACAACGTATCTGCATTTCGATTCCGAAAATAGACGTAGATGTCCATGTGTCACAGCATCTTCTTACTATCATGTAGACTATGGGATCGCTTGTCACCCTCTTCTTAAAAAAAATTGAAAATGAAAAAATATTTTACGAGATCTAACTTGTCGGTAACATAAAAAAGTAATATTTTCCGATAGGCCGCATCTGCCAATCATCTCTTACTTTTCTGAGTGTGTTATAAAAATAACTGTAATGGACTCTACAAACTTTATCGTTTCATAATTGAGTTTCATAGGAATTTATTATAAACCATAAAAGAATATTACAAAATTTGGTTAAAAGAATGAGAATTAAATGAGAACTTTTCAAGTAGTAACAGCGTGCTTAAAATGTTTTGTTTGTATTTTCTGAAATTTTCATTTATAAATTGAGGTGTAAAAATATTAATGTTGTTCTTCAAATAACCTAACTAAGTTAAAAAAAATTGAATCGTTCCGAACAAAAACCAACAAGTGCCAAATCTAGAAAACGATGAACTCCAGGAAAGCGTAACTATAAGAACACTCTGTGTTTGCCCTTATTCCATAAAAAATTACTGTCTTTCCCTGTCTTAAATTTTTTAACATAATAGTATGCGATGAAACAGAGTTCGATGCCGACTGACTTCAATAATATTGTTAATTGCATTACATATCATAAGTACTTAATGCTAATTCACATTCTCGGCACACAACACCCTGTTTGGAATGAGATGATGCTTTTACCTACCAGTGAGATATAATATATTGGCTGTATTTTAGTTGTAAAGTTAGTACAAAGAGATTAAGTTAAGATAAACTTGATTCATACATAAAAAGTTTAAATTAAGATATACTTGATTCATTCGTGGTAGAGCCATGCTGCGGTTATATCATGGTTGTAGCATGTATGTGTCGGCTCGGGTGAAGAACAGCGTCTAATAGCAGACTAATTCTTCTGTGTTTCATAAAATAGTAGACTAATTCTACTGACTTTCGTATGGTAAGTGTAGAGAAGCGCAGGGGTTGGCTATAGACGTCCGGTACTTGATTTTGATAATGTTTTTAGTCTGGCTTGATAGGGTTAAGCTGGAATCTATTACACTGTTTTTAGATGGCGGAAATGCGATTTGAATTAATTATGACAAAATTAATTTCACTAAAATTCCGTATAACGAAACGCAAATATGACAATTTTTCATAGTGTTATGAGATAAGATGTCGAAAAAGGTATAAAAAGTGGGAAACGGAACGATGTTGACGGGCATTTTGTGGGCAACCATAAATGTCAAATATATTAATTTAAATGTCAATCGTCATTCCGTTTCTTTAGTAGTCACGCGAATATTCTCTCTTGTGCTTAGTGCTAAGTTTTCTCTGTATTTTCGACGTCTTTTTTTCTATTTTTGGACTTTTTTGATTACACTTACGTTTGACTTTTGCTTTGTTTTGGATTTGATTGGATTGCATTACTTTGTACTTTGGCTTGTTTTCCAAACCTGAGAATGAGCGATTACGAACCCTTAGCGGGGCCGTCTTCAGCACCTGATGCTTTACTCGAGGCACCATCAGACTTAGTCGAAGATTACTCTGACGACGGCGACTATGTAAAGCGTCGGCTATACGTGTCTGAGATATTGTACATGTGGAATCTGTCAGATATTGTGCGCGAACTTGGAACGAATGAACAATGTGCTCAATTTAGTGAGAATGAAGGGCTAATCCTAAAGGAAAGAAAGTGCAGCAAACATAAAATAAACATGAAAATTTCATACTCAAGTGGCTGCAAATCGTTTGGTACATTCGTATGTGCTAAAGCATCCTGTAAGGGTAAAGGTGGAAGCAGTGGAGTTAAGATCTCACGTCGACGAGGGACTTTTTTTGAAAATGTATCCATTGATATGGTCCATATAACCTTATATATGCGTACTCACAAGCATGGTCCTATAATCAAATAATTCATGAAGACCCATATAAACGACAGAGACAACAATGTTTAAGTCCAGACAATATGTGATTGGTATAATTACTGTCGAGAGGTAGTTGTCATATACCATCTGGAGAAACAAAATCTGTTTTCTGGAAAGATTGGTGGCGCTGGAAAAATTGTACAAATTGATGAGAGCAAATTTGGAAAACGGAAATACAATAAAGGTAAATATAAGTATGATTGTATTTTCAACTTTGTTTTTGTAATATAAATGTCTAAAATTAATTTTATTTGTTATAGGACGTCATATCGAAGCCCACTGGGTGCTCGGTATGATAGAAGATGGGTCTGAGGATCTCAGACTAGAGGTGTGCCCAGACAATATCAGAACTGCTGAGGTGCTGGTGCCGCTTATACAAAAACATGTGGCAGCGGGTACCACCATTCATACCGATTGTTGGCGGGCATATGATTGCTTGGCAGAACACGGGTACACCCATAAAAGAGTTAATCACTCAGACCCAGACAATCCATTTGTGGCTGAAGATGGGACTCATACACAGCGAATTGAGGCACAGTGGAGAGCAGTGAAGAGGTTTTTTAAATAACAAAACTACAATCATGCACAAAATTTTTCAGACGTGGTAGTGGAGTATTTGTGGAGACGAAATATTGAAAAATATAAAAAGGATCCGTTTAAAGAAATTATGCGAGCAATAAAGCATGTGTATAAAGTAAATTAAATAATTAGAACAAAAAATACATTTTTTAATTTACCACTATCATAGCAGAGTTTAGTCATCTGACTTTATAGATACCACTGGTTGAATCGGTTCTAAAACCGAATTAGCACACCCCGAGTCCACGTAGTCTTGTCTGCCCTACCCCTAGAGTGTTTTTGTAAAGCCGTAGGCACGGAGGGAGAGCAGCCCCCGCCCGTTGCTCGCCACCGCAGCTTCGGCTAGTCCCAACCACCTCACCTCGCGATTTGCTACGCAAGGGCGAAGGGGCTGCACTTCCCGCAGTGCCGAAGCCGTTGCAGAAGTAACTCTGTGTCAATATTCCTGTATAAAAAAGTGAGGTTTTGATTTTACAAAAAAAAAAATGTTACTAATAAACTACACATTTTCGCAACGAGGGAAGGGTTGGGGGGACTTCCCATGACCCCTCCCCCTTTCCAACACCATACGGCCGTTGCAGAAGTTACTTTTTGTCAATATCCATGTATAAAAAAGTGAGGTTATGATTTTACAAAAAAAATTATTTCTCATAAACTATACATTTCCGCAACGGGGGAATGGTAGGAGGGGTTTACCATGACTCCCCCTCCCCCTCCCAATACCGTACGCGAGTACCGGACGTCTGTAGATTAACCAAGCGCAGATCCTTTTTTAACTGCAAGGGGGCATTCCATCTTAGTATTCAGGGATAGCAAATCTGCATTTTTGTTCTCAATCGAGGATATATGTAGACGTCTGTAGGCCAAGAAATCAACTTACCATCAGGTGCACTGTGTGCTCGTTTGTCACCCTTATTCTATAAAAAATATAAAAAACAAAGAGCATACTTTTTAAGAGACGATGCTGCTGTTCTGTTGTTACAGTTTTCCTCTGTCGCCTCTGACGTCACCTGTAGGATGGTATGAGCTAGTCGATTCTCTAACACCGCCTACAAGTACAAGTAACTTATGAAACCCTACATAAATTTTGTCAAAAAATCATTCCTAGTTTTTCATTTTCTTATACACATTTTGTTTTTCATTTCATTCAATATTTTCATAATAAAATTAAGGCCAATGTCAAAAATCCTCTATAATTATCTGGTCAAACACCCTAGAACAATGTTTCCAATTAGTTTGTCCCGAGTACCACTTCGAGAAAGACCTCAAGATTCTGTAATTCTTAAAATAATATTATATCATATTTTCGTCAGTTATTAACTTAACAATTTTAATATCATAACATGTAAAATGGAAAAATGTGCCAGTTGAACTACGCTTGGGTGATATATTTGGTGTAATTATTGCGTAGTTTTTACATTAGTCAAGAGACATTCCTTTCCTTTTTTTAATGAGATAACGTGACAAGCGAGCACGCAGTCCGCCTGGTGGTAAGTGGCTGCTGTGGCCTATAGACATCTACATTTATCCTCCATTAGGAATCCAAACGTTCATGCATTGTCACCCTTGGGGACTAAGATGGAATGCCTTATTTCCAGTAAAAAAGGGTCTCCGGATCTCTACACTCACCATACGAAACACAGCTGCATTAAGCTGCTATTTTACGCTGGTATTCTGTGAGAGTGTGGTCCTTCCCCGGTCGAGCCGACACATTTGTGCTACAACTGTACTACTAATACAGCTGCAACATGGCACTACTACATTAAAAAGTCAGTCAAGAGGCTTTCCCTTAAGACAACTTCACGTACCCCGGGGGGTACGCGATCCATTAATTGGGAAACACTGCGCTAGGAAAGTATACGCATACGTAAAGTGACGCATTAAAATATAGAGACGAGGAAATTAAGGATACATCAGTTGTAACAGATTTTATTACGTTTTGCTTTAGCTTACTTTTATTTTCCGCCATTTTGATTATTTTGTAGCTATCAAATGGCGACGGAAACAACACATCGGAATAAAATGAACTAAACGTAAAACTGGTTCGACATTTTAGTTTTTTACTTTCATTACCTCCTGTGAAAGTCCAATTATATACATAGGCCTTCCCATAAAATACCTCATAAGGAGGATGTTTGCCATATTTGCCACACTCGGCAGATATGTTGGCAACCATAGTTTTTTTTATTTTCTAATTGTTTTTAGAAAGACGCTACTGCCCCTCTTCAAACCAGAAAAGTGGCAGTAGCGTCGTTCTCTCTATTGTCTCTTACGAAACTCACGGGACGATATTGCGTAGTGGATTGTCTTATACCGCCGCTACTTAACTATCTTAAATATTTTATATCAACACGAACCTCAGTTATTAATAAGGAACTTCAGGTAAGAAATCAAATAATTTCTTGTACGTCGCTGCGCCTAATTAGTACGTTAACAAACTTAGTCGGAATTTCTTGGAAGTAATAATATTGACTTTGTTAACATAATTGATTAAGTTTCGTTGAATAACTCCACTCCTCGCAATGAAAATATCTAGATTGAAGGTTTTAATCACTGTTTAATGAATTAACTACGATTAAAATTAATATTATAGGTAGTACGTGAGGGTAATATGGTCATCCGGTTACTATGGTCACTTTCTTATAACTCAAAAACTACAGATTTGTTTACAGATGGCGTTGTTACACGATAGCTCTTCATCGGTCAATCAAATGTGATTGACCGATCGATGATGTGTACAGCTGCCCATAGAACCTCTCAATCTCAATCAAAATCTCTGGTGTCTCGGAAACGATGCTGCCACACTCAGTCTTCAGCTTTGATAGTTGGCTCTTTCTGGCAGACAGATCTCTGGCAAAGACTTTGGAGCCCTGGTTCCGCTCGATCGCTTCTTTAATACGAGCAGTATTAAAGTTGCGTAAGTCTCGCCGCATACATTTGGAGATCTGTCTGTTCAGTCGCCTGTATGCTGTCAAATCTGTTGATGATTGCAGCCTCATCACCCGTCTAACAGACATGAGATTAAGAGTGTGATCGGAGAGTTTTTGTGTTCTTCTGCGGCGGGTCAAGCCGAAGCGCACTCAGTGTGCCTCTAACCATTCGCTGATCGCTGCCGGTTTTCACCCTTGCGATCACTGAGACATCACTGAACAGTTGGCGTCTGGTCGTCATAATGAAGTCAATCTCATTTTTTTGTCGAACCGTCGGGGCTCGACCAGGTCCACTTCCTGTGGGGCCGCTTCTGGAAGAAAGAGTTCATCATAAAGAATCCCTCTTTCTCCATAAAGTCACCCAGCTGCTAGCCCCTACGGTTCCGTTGTCCTACTCCATATTTCCCTAACTTTAGCTCACCGCCTTCTCTTGTGCCGAGTTTTGCGTTGAAGTCTCCCATCAACACCGTGTAGTGGGTTTTGGAGGAATGCATGGCTCTAGAAATATCCTAATACATTTCCTCCACCTCCTCATCAGGATGTGCCGAGGTTGGTGCGTAGACCTGTATGACCTTCAGCGAATACCGTTTGGTGATTCTGAGTATCAGGTACGCGACCCTCGTCAACACACTCCCAATCTTTACAACGTTGTTGACGAGAGACTTGTGGACGATAAATCCGACACCTCCTTGGGACAGATGGTCGCCCTCCCGGTGGTAGAACAAGTTGCCGGACTCGAGGATTACCGTGTCCTCCCCCTCTCTTCGGACCTGAGATAATCCAATAATATGCCAGCGCAACTTGTCTTCCTCTTCTTCCAGCTCTATTATCTTCAAGTCAGTCCTCAGGGTGCGTGCGTTATACGTTGCCAGGTCAAGTCGTCGAAGGTGGCAACCGAACCTCCACCGGAGATTCTTAGCACCCCCTGCCCCGCCGTTACCATGGTCGCCACCGTAGCCAGGAATAGCGGGGCCGCCGGGGACTGGGGGCCGTTTATTTGCGTCGTTGCTCATGGGGGGATATTTGCCATAGTTGCCACGCTTGGCGAGCGGGTTGGCAACCGCAGTTTTTTATTATGTTATTATTGTTATTGGGAAGATGCTGCTGCCCATCTCCTTTCTGTGTCCCTCTGTCGCCTCTTACGACACCCACGGGAAGATAAGGGGTAGTGGATATTCTCAACCACCATTACACGGCATTTGTGCCACACGCAAGTGAGTAACGATCCAAGAGAAAGTCTTACGCGACACTATTCCGATGATATCCCGGACATCAGTCTGAGCGAGATTAGAATGGCTCTCCAGCACCTTAAAAACGGCAGGGTCCCAGGCGAGGATGGAATTACAGCAGAGCTTCTGAAAGCGGGTGGAACACCAGTACTTAAAGTCCTTCAGAAGCTCTTTAATTCAGTCCTCCATGGTGGCACTACTCCGGAGGCGTGGAGCAGAAGTGCAGTGGTCTTGTTCTTTAAAAAAGGCG